CTTCCCTTCCCTTTCCTTCCTTCCTTCCTTCCTTCCTTCCTTCCTTCCTTCCTTCCTTCCTTCCTTCCTTCCTTCCTTCCTTCCTTCCTCAGATTAGCCAACCTTCCTAGCCTCAAGGTTTGGTAAAGCAGACATACATCTTCCACCTCCCCAACCAAATTGCTACAGGATGTTGCTCTGTTCATTTAACCTCTTAAAACACTGCAATGTATGCATCTACCTCTGAAACCCTATAATATAAGGACTTACATTCTTTTTTTCTCTCCCCCCCTCCAAATTTTAGGGGGCTCCTGGACTTTGGGGTTTGAAGGGCACAAAAGGGCTCAAGGGGCAAAAGGTGAGTGCCCTTGGCTAGAGAAGGTGCATATAGGCAACTCCGCTTTAGCCATGGAATAATTAGATTGCTATAATATTTCTTAGGGCTACTCCCCTTTTTATATGCTATGAATGCATTCCAGTTTCTTGCTTCCTTTTTCTAGGGTGACAGAGGCAGCCGGGGGTTTCTTGGGCCACGAGGTGATACTGGCTTTAAGGTGAGCGTGAGAATTGGACTGGATTTCTGACATTTGTACTAGAGTTTGAATGCCCTGCGTCTGAAAGCAGCAGGAGTGTTTGTGTTAAGCAAGGGAGCCGTTCTCATGGAGTTTCCTTGGACTCTTTCAGGGCGAGGATGGTCCTCCAGGGGTGCCTGGGAGGCCAGGACCAAAGGGGAAGGAGGTAAGTGGCTTTCAAGCTACCTTTAATGGACATTGGAAGTTGCACTGGTTGAAATCCCCCCCGCTTTTACACACTTATGCAGTAATGTACCCAGTTGCATCTTATGCCTGTAGCAAATACTGCTGTCTGAGTACAAAGAAGGAAGAAGAAATTGCAGATGATACACTTTTAAGTGATTGGTGTTGGAAAGCCATCTCTGAGTTATTTATCAATGTTTTACAGGGTGCTGCTGGCCCGCCAGGGCCCCTTGGTTATGCTGGATATCCTGGTGTTCCAGTAAGCTTTCTTCTCTCCCCCCACCCAAAAAAAATCCAGTCCTAATTCTGTTCTTCCTTATTGTGAGAGGGCTAAACAGTTCTGGGTCAAGGAATTGAAAACTCGCTCCACTTTGCTTCTCCCTTAGCTTCCAAGAAAGCCTTCCATGCTTGAAAGCCAGTTGACAACCTTATCCTCTCCCACTCTGGATTTCTGCCCCAATTTGTTCCCCAGAATTCTGCAATCTGCTTCAGTGGGGGGACTGAGGCCAACCAGTTTGATTTTCTAGCTTTGCAGCCCAACCCAATAGTTCTTTGCTGCTCTTGTGAGCGAGAAAAACACATTCCAGGAAGGCTCTTCCACAAATCTTCCTGGTGATCCAACTCAAATTACGTATCTGTTTGGGGAAAGGACCATAATAACCCCCCCCCCCTTGCGTGGTTCCAAATAGCTCTTCGGGGGACTAAAATGCCTTCCCTCATCTACAAGACGTACTCTTCCTGGCCCTGCCAGTTTAAAAAATGGGCGCTTCGTTTTCTTTTACAAATTGTCTTTGTTAAGGAAAGAGAGAGATGAAAATAATGATGGGAGGGAAAACATGGAGATGACTGCGTGTTAAATGCCTTGTCTGGACGTGTCAGATCTCCTCTAATCCTTTGTAAACACATCATTATTTTAAGGGTCTGGCGGGAACTTTCTGAAAATGAATGCCTTTTCCCCCTTCCCACAAATATATATTTTCCTAATTTTCCCCAGGGCTTCCTTGGACAAAAAGTAAGTATTTTTTTTTCCTCTAGTACCTTGGTTTAGATGTTTTTCCTTGCATTTCCCTGTAGTTTGCCCGAGCTGTCCTCCCCGCCCCCCGCCCTATAGATCTTTCCCCAAATGCTTGCCAAATTTTGCATCTCTCTGTGTATGCAATTTGCTAGAGACACCACGTACTTCTGTTGATGTAGCAGAGGCTTAGGGTCTGTCCAACAGTGGACGTTTGGCTGCATGTAAAAATTTCTCAGCATTATCCAAATATTGATAATTCTTTCCCCCACTTTTTTTAAACAGGGCCTCAAAGGATTAGAAGGAATTCAGGGACCAAAAGGCAAAGCAGGCTTGCCTGTGAGTTAAGTTCCCCTTTCGCCTTTATTTAATCCTGTTCTTCTAAGCTTTCCTCCGTAAGGACTAGGAACAGTTCACATTAAAAAAAAAAAAAATACACACATCAGAGCCGTACCATCGAGGAGTAAATATGGTAGCTGAAACCTTGTTAAACTTCATGGGGGAGGGAGGATTTCTAAGGCTTTTAATCTGGAAAAATATTTCTTAGAAATAAATAAATTGTATGGCTTGCCTACAGATATATCCCACATTATTTCTAAGAGGCCTGGCTGTCAGAGTTCCCTCCCCATCTTGAAAACAGCTTGCTGGGTAGGTTAGACTGAGAAGCAGCAATAGGTCCAAGGTACCATTTTATGCTAAAGCCCGAATTTGAAGATGGATCTCTCCTCTTCCAATCCATCCCTGGTCCAGCTCATGATGGCCAGGCTATTGTGCCAGATGTTCATCAGCAGCTGGAGGCTAACAGGTTCCCTAGCATTCAAGGCTTCACTAGTAGAAGCTAGTCCAAAACTTCTCATTTCCAACGCCTATATACCTCTGTCACTTTTGATTTTCTCTTTTGAGAGCTAGAATCTTTTGACAGCCCTTTGACGTAGACCAGGTCAGGAAGCAGATACCACCAGCAACATTAGAATGCTACTTTATTGATAAAGACTGTAATAACAGAATCTTGAAAGCCTGACAGCATTTCCTCTTCCCTCTCTGCTATATCAAAGAGAATCAAAGATAGGCAATCTTGATTTTCTTTCTCACCCCTTCCTGGGCTTAGCTGATGCCTTTGTGACAACTGCTGCATATTTTTTTCGAGGCTGTCTCTGTACTTCTTTACACCTTCAAATCAAGATGAATCCTAAGACATGTAGAGTACTTGTATTCCATGATCCAGGGTAGGATTGTCAATGTTTCCTGGTATTTCTAGGGTAAACCTGGTGTTCCTGGACTACCTGGACCTTCTCTGAATATCTCCAAGAAAGATCTGAAGGTGGGTTTAGCAAGTGAATTATGGTGGCACGTGTGAACAGAACATTGTGTTGGTTTCCTCCCACTGTGTCCCAGTAAATGTGGCTTTCCTAGTTCATTTCACTGGGAATCCACTCAATGTGCTACTATTATCCATTGGTTAATTTGGGTTTAGACACCAAACAACATGATTCAGGTTGACATGAAACCCACCTTCTGGATTATCTCACTCCAGAAGGTGGGATGAAGTGAGGCATATGTAGACATTTTTCCTTTATTCTAATTTGTTGACTTTCAATCCCTGCCTATAGAAAGTTAGAAAGTCTAGACCTCCCTTTCTCTGCCACTGCAGCTTTCCATGTGGAGGGACTTTGGGTTCAGGGAAGAGGGGTTTGCCATACCTTCGAAAGACATCCTGGTTTGCTGCTTAAAATAAACCTTTGAATGGTTGACATTTGGTCTGCCTCCTCAGTTGTTTGGACTCTATGTTTAGCAAAAGAGCAGTGTTACATCTTCTGCTTGTTAGGCATCATTCAAAGAGAAGAGTGGCCTACAAATTAAGTAAATCATCATTGGGTTTTCTTTTTCCACCTTTAGAACAAACAAGCAAAAATGTTGGCTGCTTTGTCCCCTGTTGATTGATTGATTATGTGCCATCAGATCACTGTTGACTCTTAGTGACCGTATAGATAGATTTTCTCCAGGCTGATCTATCCCTAATCTTCAGGTCTTCCAGTGGCACCCCCATCACCATTGTAACTGAGTCCATCCCCCTTGCTGCTGGTCGTCCTCCTCTCTTTCCTTCCACCTTTCCCACCATCAGAGCCTTCTCCAGAGAGCTGGGTCTTCTCATAATGTGTCCAAAGTAGGATCATTTGAGCTGGGTCGTTTGTGCCTCAAGTGATAACTCTTGGTTGATTTGTTCAAAGATCCATTTGTTTGTTTTCTTGGCTGTCCACGGCATTCTCAAGAGTCTTCTCCAACACCAAGATTCCAAGGCAGCAATGCTTTTTCTATCTTGCTTTCACTTCCATAGCTACATTCTTCCCACAAGCTGAATTACAGCCTAGTGTGGGCTCTTATGGACAACTTGAGGCAGGAGCTGAAGCGCCTGACTGACCCCCCGGATGGCACCAAAGACCGCCCGGCCACTACCTGCAAAGAGCTTTTGGTGGTTCGGTCCCACCTATTGGATGGTAAGGAAAACTAGGTCCTTTCTTCACTGGCAGGCCCTGCAAATGTCCAGGGCCTCCTAGATTTTTGGACCTTCCTCTTGTGATGGAGGACGCAGAAGAATGGGAGGACACACAGGTTTGCATAGTCTTTGCTCTTGTTTGAATTGGCTCTAATAAAGGTGTTAAACAGGGATGGATTAGGATTAACCTTTCCTTCACTTGCCTGGAGACGCAAAGGGAAGAGAAACTTAGCCCAAGCTAGGGGTCCTAGGTTGGGATTTGGGACACAGAAGAAGCAAATGCAAAACCACAGTTTCTCCCAATTCCAGTAGGATGTTCTGACTGGCTGCTGCTTTAAAACATACACCTCTTCCTCTGTGTATTTCCCATGGGCTAAAGACAGATTCATTTTATCTCTTTCATTCCAGGGTATTATTACATTGATCCCAATCAGGGCAGCCCCCAAGACTCTCTGATGGCCTTTTGCAACTTTACAGCGGGAGGAGAGACGTGTATTTCTCCTGTGCAAAATCAGGTAAGAGGTCTGGTGCTGCAATATTTTCCATGAAGTTTCAGGCAACCTCTCTTTTGGAAGCGTTTTCCACACTTTCTCTTCTGGGGTGGAATCGGTTAAAGAGGAATACATGAAGCAGGTCCATAATGTCTTTTGATGGATAGCAGTGCACGGCCTGGCAGATGAGTCTGAAAGCAGACTGTCCCTGCCGTGTACAATTCTCAATAAAATGGAGGCTATAGAGGAGAAGTCAGCATTTATTTAAACTTGCAGGTCCCTCTCAAGGCTTGGTTGAGATCCTATGCATCGGAAAGCACTTTTGAGTGGTTGAGTTCGCTTCCCGATGGTTTCCCGGTAAGTTTTGCTGTAGTAGTGGGGAAACTCTGATCCCCTTGATGCATTTGGAAGGCTATGTCCAGCACCTTTACCACTGGCCATACCGACTGTGACCACTGGGTGTTGAAGTTCAGCAACATCCAGAAGACCATCTTCCCCACCCCTTGGAAGGCCACTGAGTTTCCATCCTAAAGAAGTCTTCTGGCTGGAACTCAGCCAAGGCAAGGAGGTATACAAGAGAGGTCCAATAATTGCAGCCAGTAGATTGTTAATGGTGGGAAGACTGTTGCAAGAGCTTTTCTACCTAAGCTTTGAAACTGTTGGGGACATTGTCGTCAGCTGAGCCCTTAGCCTGACAGCCTGGTTTTCTAAAAGTAAGGAGTTGCACACTCAGGCTTTAGGAAAGCTACTGCTTTCTAAATCAGTTTGGGAGCTAATTTAGAAATATAGAAGGCAGGAACTCAGGGCTGCCTATGGGTTAGAGCCCTTCTTTGCCTGCTAGCTTTCTACGAGCAGAAATGAGAACCATCTCAGAAAAGGGGAAGAACATTCAGTCTTGAACTCAGCCAGCTTGATGCAGTCCTGCCTTCTGCTGTTTTCTGGCTGTTGCAGCTCGAGTACCAGGGCCTGAACACCGTCCAGCTCCGTTTTCTGAAACTTCACAGCAGTCTGGCCACCCAGAAAGTGTCATATTCCTGCAGGCCCCACTCAGATGGAAGCAAACAGCATCTGGAAAAGGAAATCAAGTTTCTTACAGATTCCAAGGACCAAAGCTACTTGACTACTCTCCAGGGATGTGTGGTAAGCAAACAGGAAAGAGGAACAAGAGGTTTTCTTCTTTTCTTTTTTCTCCCTCCCTCCCCTTTCTTCTCCCTCCATCCTTCCTCATCTTTCCCCTCCCCTCCCCTCCCCTCC